GCAACACTTCCCTAAACAAGCGCACTGCATTCACCGGTGGGTGTGTTGTCGTAGGGGAGCTGGAAATGAGCGAGCTGCAGGTATTTATCGCGACCTAACGTCATATTTTGTTCTACAAACCGTAATTGATATGCTTTCACTACAGGCGCCTCATACAATTGAATCGACGCAGTTGTCACACTCTGTGCCGTGTTTTAAAGAGGAACTGGTGAGTCAAACTAACGCTAGCCTGCGCTGCTCTGTTAGCTATTTCTTATATTTTTCTGTGTGGGCGCCGAGGCCTATTATTATGAGTATGTTTTTGCTGTGCTCCTCCTGCTAAAGTTTGCATACATTAGATAGTTGTTTTGATTATGTGCACTAAGCTAGATTAATATTTGCACTATTGTTTATGGTGCATTGATATGAGAATCAGTGCTTTGACTGATTGAATTAATTTATATGAGACATTTTATTATGTAATGATATATTGGTAATTATGAGATATTACTAATGCTGGTCCAGTTCATACAGGCCAGGGTCCTTCCCCTCCATTGGTCCCTTCAGTCCTTTGGAACAATAACCACTACGGACATTAAACTGATTATATAGATACAGGTCCTAGCCCAATACTCATATTCATATATTCTGCACTGCTGCACTTGCTACTTCCCATTAAAACCCCAAAGATAAAAAGTATGTTGACACGGACTGCTCTGATTTTATGTGTGGTCTGTGCATGTGTAACTGAGCCTGCATCTGGCACAACATCCAATTAGATCACGTAGATAGTTTTGATTTACCAGCAGCCAACGACATGGAACAAACTGTTAGTCCATGGGTCAGAGACCAACGAGAATGCACCAGCAAAATGATTCCTAACATTATTTTGTTTGCCTACAAAAGTACGTGGAGACCAACAAGAAACAAATCGCGGTCAAAAAGACTCGAGAGGACTCGAAAGTCAAACCGTAGGACTTGGGACTGACTTGAGATTTGTTGGCCTTTGACTTGGACTCGACTCGGGACTTGCCTGTCTTGACTCGTGACTTGACTCGGGACTTGAGGGCAATAAATTGAGACTGACTTGTGACTTGCTAAACAATGACTTTGTCCCACCTCTGGCTTTAACACCTGTCGAACGTCATTGCCACAACGAAAACACTGCTTGTTTTGGGTTAGGAGCCTCAGATTCCCACAATGTCATCGGACAGTGGCTCCTGGGATCTCGACACCTCTAACAATAGAGCTACCAATGACCAGCGCACCAGCGCCTCGCTCTGAAGGGTTCTCCTCCCCGCCAGGCCGCGAGGGGAGCCCCAAACTGTCTTTGTCCTGGTTTTGTTGACGCTGGTTCTTCTCTGCCTAGACCAGCTCGAGCGTCTGGTATGTAGCTTTAACTCAGAGACCCTGGACTTTAAACAACTATGCTAGACTTAACACAGCTATCACTACCCTCAGAGAAGGGTCCAGAGTTTAGGCTCGCCATGGGCTGCTGGAGCAGTAAACGACTGAGGGGGAGATAGCATCAGCCATGGAGCAAGCAAAGACACTTAACCCCACTTTGCCCAAAGCCCCCACTGAAAGATCAAGGCTATGCTCACACTCAGAGCAGCCGTCCTCCTGTGGACTCACCCCCTGCAGAGGGTCAGTGAGGGGCTGGTGCTATGAGACTTGGGTGGCATCTCTGACTGCCACCCCCCTGACCCAGAAATGGATTAAAGGGTAGATAATGGATGGATGGATGGAGCAAGCAAAGCCTAGTGGCTTGGAAAGCCCAGGCTACGATGCCAAAAGAGTTATCAATACATGAGATAAAGTTAAAAGAGCACTGGCTATAGGTTTGAGATGGGTGGAAACTAGTGTATCAAGTTCAAAATAAAGTGAGAAATTCAAAAATTGTAGTGTAATCAAGATGCGGTGTCAAGTGTTGTTTGACTCTTTATGTTTGTCATTTTGGTGCTTGATGCGCCTGACGCTCTGTTGGGAGGAGCTTCGCTGTTGCCGGTAGTCCAGAGACAACGGTGGATTTCCAGAGAGCAGCCTTTAGTTGTTATACAAAGCCACACAACGTGGTCGTAGCTTCCACACAACGTGTTCTGGGTTCTCCACAGACTTGAGAGGCTAGAGTGTTTGCTGAGTTTCACCATTTACTCCAGGAGCTGCGTATGGAGTTTCGCTTTCAGCGGTACTTCTGCATGTCACTTGCCCAGTTTGAGTACCTGCTCACCCGCATCGGAGCTCGCATCGCCCACCTGGAGCTCACATTGCCCGCCTGGAGCTCGCATCGCCCGCCTGAAGTTTACATCACCCGCCTGGACACCAACTACAGGCGCCTGGACACCGACTACAGGCACTTGATTACTGTGGAGGAGCACCTGTATCTGTCTGCTGTGTCTTAGCCATATTAAAGGAGCTATACCCAGGCAAGGTTTTTTTCAGCCATCTAGTTGTATTTGCGATCTGATACGTAAGCAAACATTAGCATCAGCGCAACTTCTTGTAAGCTGTACAACAATCACTGATGAAATGATACAAAAACAACGCACTGCTAAAAAATATATATTTACTGAAAGATTACCGCTAGTTTTGCGTCCAAATCAGTGGGGTGGGTCCCGGCTCAAAAGTAGCCGAAATGACGTGCACTGACATGCTTGCAATACCACCCGTCTTTACAGGATGGTCCAAAAGTCGGCTCTTGGCCCGGAGCTACGTTCCACATGTGTGTCAATGCAGAGGGGAGTGTTTTTGGACCAGTCCAAGGCAAGGCAAGGCAAGTTTATTTATATAGCGCAATTCATACACAACACAATTCAAAGTGCTGAACAAAATAAGAAAGCATTAAAATCATAAATAATCACAGTACATTAATAAGAAAGATAAAAAATATAAAATCCCTCAGTTGTATGCACAGCCAAACAGAATTGTCTTTAACATGGTTTTAAACATTGTCAGAGAGGAGGCCTGTCTCACATCTTCAGGAAGACTGTTCCAGATTTTAGCAACATGAATCAGAAAAGCAGCCTCCCCATGTTTAGTTCTGACTCCGGGCACTAACAGGAGTCCAGTCCCTGTGCTCCTCAGAGTCCGGGCTGGTTCATATGGGACTAACATGTCACTAATATATTTTGGTGCGAGTCCATGGAGAGACTTGTAACAAGCAGAGCTGTTTTAAAGTCTATTCTCTGAGCCACAGGAAGCCAGTGCAGAGACTTGAGAACTGGACAAATGTGGTCGTACTTCCTGGTTCTAGTCAGGACTCGAGCTGCTGCATTTTGAACGTACTGCAGCTGTTTTACAGCCTGTTTGGACAGACCTGTGAGCAGGCCATTGCAGTAGTCTAACCTACTGGAGACAAAAGCATGGATATGAATCTCCAAGTCTGCTTTAGACACTATGTTTTTGATCCTGGCAATGTTTAAAATTTAAATCTGAGTCCAGTGTAACCCCTAGATATCTGACCTTGTTTGAAGGTTTTAGGGAGAGAGACACGAGGTGACAGATGACGCTCTCTCTTTGTTTCTGGGGACCAAAGACAATCATTTCAGTTTTGTCTAAGTTTAGCTGAAGGAAGTTGTTTTGCATCCACTCACTGAAAGGTTGGATACAGTGAAGGAGTGAGTCCACTGGTCCATGTTCTCGTGCAGTCAGTGAGACATAGATCTGAGTGGGAAGGGGATGGCAGGGGAGGAGGATGGAGAGGTGAGTGGCTTTTGGGTGTTGAACGAGGGGGGCAGGGAGGTGGAGGGGTTTTTGATGATGGGTTAGGGGCAGGGTGGGCTGAGGGAGAGGTTCTGGGTGTTGAACGAGGGGGAGGTGGGGATGGAATCGTCATGAGGTTAGGGGAGGAATAGTCTTCATCGCCGATTTTATTAGCCCTGCAGAGTGAAGGCTGGGATGAAAAACAAAGGGAAGTGTCCCCATTCTCTCTTGATGGAGTGGACGAGACAGGTCCATGGGAGGTGGCGAGGGAGTCTTTGATGGAGCGGCAGGTGGTTGAGGAAACCCCAGCACAGGCCTGTCTGCTGTAGCCTGGGGTGAGGATGGATTCAGAGGCGCTGCAGATGAAGAAGGCGTGACTGCTTCGGAGCAGGCTAGGGATGAGGATGTTGGTGGTGGTGGTCGTGCTGCTTGTGCTGCTACTGGTGATGATGCAGCTGCTGCTGGTAATGATACAGCTGCTTCTGATGACAGTGGAGGTGTTGAGATCCTTCGAGGCGGTGACGGTGTTGAGATCCTTCGAGGTGGTGGTGATGTTGAGATCCTTTGAGGCGGTGGAGGTGCAGAGACTTTTGGAGTCAGTGTAGATGTTTGTGTTGTTGCCTGAAAGGCACTTTGCTTCTTCTTCCTCCCTTTCGAAGGCGCACGCGCTGCGCAGGCTGAGGTCTCAGGGCAAAAGAAAGGTTTTCCATCAACACTTTTACTCCGTAAGTGTTCAAATGTGGCCCTTTTCCTTCAAATAGCTCATGCCTATTCCGGAACAGATTAAAATTCTCAATGAAGGCAAGTCCTCTGCGTGAACATTCGTTGAGTAGGAAAGTATTTAGCTAATACAGACGACTGAATTTCATTTACTTCCCGTCCACATTTGGTAGTGGTCCACTGATAACAATTGTTGAGTCCATTTTTGCAAGGTCGTCCAATAAGAGAGAATAATCCCATTTCAACTTTTCACTTGTGTTGTCATAGATGTCCACTGCCCCCACGTGGATCAACAATCTTTTTACCCCGCCGGTCTCAGACAGAAGCTTTGGAGCCAACAGTCTTATCTCATCCACTTTGGCCGAGTGCACTGAGTGTACTTTCACGTTACGCATGTTTACATACCTAATCGCAGAATCCCCGATTAAGAGCGACTCAGCTGCATGAAAAACAGCCGTCGCAAAGTTTTGTTCTTTTTTTCCGTCCTCCCAACATGCTGTAGGTTAGTAAATTCCACAAGTCTTGTGTTAAAGTTTGTAAAAAGGAGTAATCTGTGTTAAAGGAGTAAACATCTTTATTGTTTCAAAACAATAATACAGTTATTCTGCAGACTCTTTGCCCTGTAAAATAGATAAAGACATGAATACATTATAAAGAAATTTTAAAAAGAACTACATATTGTTTTATGGTTTGATCAAAAACCACAATTTGAAGTAATCAAAGTTATGCTTTACCTTTCCAGCGTCACGGCTCTTGACTCTCAACTTGTTAACCTGGGACTCTGCAATATCGGCACGCTCCTCAGCCTCCTCCAGCTCATGCTGAATCTTTCTGCACTTGGAGAGATGCTGGTTGGCCTGCTCTTCCTGGAGCACATGATAGTAATTTGTTGAATTTGTCTTACATTTAGGTTTATGGGATGAGAGTAAGTAGTACTGTGCACTTACCGCTTCCTCAGCCTGCCTCTTGTAGGCCTTCACCTTGAGCTGCAGCTTATCAACCAGATCCTGGAGCCTGGTGACATTCTTCTTGTCCTCTTCAGTCTTGAACACAACAGGGAGGTGATAGTTATCATTTGACTTGAGTAAATATATACTTGCTTTTGTATGTGGCTCAAATACCTGGTAGGTGAGCTCCTTGACTCTCCTCTCGTATTTGCGAACACCCTTAACGGCATCTGCTCCACGTCTCTGTTCATTTTCCACCTCAGTCTCAAGCTCACGCACCTGTAAAAAAACATTTATTTAGGTTGAGAGTGCGATTGTTCTGATTTTCTTTTGGTGTTCACAGTGTAAGTCTTACCCTAGACTCCAGTTTCTGGAGCTGCTTCTTGCCGCCCTTCATGGCCAGATTCTCAGCCTCATCCAGACGGTGCTGCAGGTCCTTAACAGCAACTTCAAGATTCTTCTTCATCCTCTCAAGATGAGCACTGGTGTCCTGCTCCTTCTTCAGCTCTTCTGCCATCATGGCAGCCTGGAAACCATAATTATTTTTTTATAATTGTAGTTTTTTGTTGGCCAAAAAGTACGCCAAAAAATGACTTACATCAGTGATGGCCTTCTTGGCCTTCTCCTCAGCGTTTCTTGCTTCCTGAACAGTGTCATCGACTTCACTCTGGACCTGAACCAGATCAGTTTCAAGCTTCTTCTTGGTGTTCATCAGACTTGTGTTCTGTAAAATAAGAAGAACTAGGATTAAACTCAAAGTTCCAATATGACAAAATTGTATTACAATAATTTTACCTGAGAATGCAGAAGTCCAACACGTTCGCTGGCATCAACCAGCTCCTGTTCAGCGACTTTGCGTCCTCTTTCTGTCTGTTCCAGAGCTGCCCTAAGTTCTTCAATTTCAGCTATCATCAGGCCATTTCTGCGCTCCACCATAGCAGCTTGTTCTTTGAGGTCCTCCTGTGCTCTCACTGCATCATCAAGGTGCAGTTGGGCATCCTAGTTGAAGAAGAGTGTGAGTTAATGTGGGTGCTTTAAAGAATAAGGAATCCTGAAACTAGAGTCTTGATACCTTGAGCTGTGTCTGCACATTTCTCAGCTGTTTCTGGGACTCCGATGCCTGACGATTGGCATGGCTAAGCTGAATCTCCATCTCATTCAAGTCTCCCTCCATCTTCTTCTTGATTCTAAGGGCATCATTTCTGCTTCTGACCTCAGAGTCCAGAGTGCCTTGCATGGAGTCAATGACCCTCTGGCTGTTCCTCTTGATTTGTTCCATTTCCTCATCTTTTTCTGCCAGCTTCCTGTCAACCTCACCCTTCACTTGGTTAAGCTCCAGCTGGACACGGAGGATCTTAGACTCTTCATGTTCAAGAGTTCCCTAATAAATTATGAATACATGTTATTATCATCTATTCCCACACCCACTTAATTTTGATGATATCTTACCTCAGCCTCCTCAAGGGCAGTCTGGATTTCAGATTTTTCTGTCTCAACCTGCTTCTTGGACTTCTCCAATTCATGGATGCTCTTGCCAGTCTCACCAATCTGCTCAGTCAAGTCAGAGATCTCCTCTATTGAATAATCATATGTTTAGTCATACAACATCAGCTTCTGATTTAAATAACTCAGCTTCTTTATAAACTCACGTTGCAAGTTCTTGTTTTCACGTTTCATGGTCTCCAGCTGGTCAAGAGCTTCTTCATAGGAGTTCTTCATCTTGAAAAGCTCAGTTCCCATTGAGCGGGCCTCCTTTTGAGCTCCCTCAAGCTCTGCCTGACCCTCCTCAAACTTCTGCTTCCATTCAGCCAGGACCTAATGTGATACAATATCATAAGAGTGGATGGTAAATAACAAAACATCACAGACATACAGCACCTTGACAATTCTATATTAAATTATTTACCTTGTCAAAGTTCCTCTGCTTCTTGTCAAGGTTGGCAGCGAGACCATTAGCTCTCTCCACATCAATCATGAGATCCTCAACCTCACTCTGCAACCTCTGTTTGGTTTTCTCCAGAGAAGCACATTTGGAGTTGACAGCCTCAATCTGCTCCTCGGCCTCTTGGAGCCGTTGGGCCAGCTTTTTTCTTTGAAACAGTAACATATTATAAATAAACACGATCAATCTGATGGGTTGTGTTGTGCTACAGTAATCAAAACTCACTTGGCTTCCTCAAGCTCCTCAGTGCGCTGGATAGCATCGGTTTCATACTTAGATCTCCACTGAGCTACCTCGCTGTTGGCCTTAGACATTCCACGCTGAAGTTCAGCCTTGGCCTCCTGCTCCTCTTCAAACTGTTCCCTGAGCAGATCGCAATCGTGACGAGCAGACTGAAGTCCATGAGCAAGGGCATTCTTGGCCTACGGAATAAGACAGGCTATGAGTGTGTCATTATAACATTGTTTTTTTTATTAAATTAGCTGTTTCATTACATACCTTGACCTCCTCTTCAATTTGCCTCTTAATCTCCTCAATCTGCTGTGTGAAAGCCTGTTTGCCTCTTGTCAACTGAGAGACCAGGGCTTCTTTTTCCTCAATTTGGCGCCCAAACTCACCTTTGGTGTAAAATATTGGTTAGAAGATTCATAATTCTTCTGTCAAATAATTTCCTGGTGTTTATGTTACCATTCTCTGTAAGGAGACGGGCTTTTTGGCCCCCAAGATCATTGATTTGGCGAACATTTTCATCATTCTTGGTCTTCAGCTCGCTAAGTTGGTCCTCGAGGGTACGGCACATCTTTTCAAGATTTCCCTAAACATTTGATTTGATGTTAATAAAAACAGTTGTTCATAAATGTTCATAAAAAGTTTAACATAGCAACAATATCCCATTACCTTAGCTTTAGCCACAGCCTCCATGTTGCTGGAGAGGTCATCAATTTCCATCTTGTATTCACTCTTTTCCTTCTCAAGCTTCTGCTTGACTCGCTGGAGGTTATCAATCTGCTCTCCCAGCTCAGCAACACTGTCCGCCTGCTTCTTGCGCAGAGCAGCAGCAGTGGCTTCATGCTGCAGAGTGGACTCCTCAAGGTCACGACGGAGCTTCTGGAACTCAGCCTCACGCTTCTTATTCATCTCAATCTGAGCAGCAGTGGCACCGCCGGCCTCTTCCAGCCTCTCACTGATCTCTTCAAGTTCCCTGGACAGATCAGCTCTCTGCTTCTCAACCTTGGCACGAGCAGCCCGCTCAGCCTCAATCTCTTCCTCAAGCTCCTCAATACGGGCCTGTAGTTAGAATAATGGAGACATTATAATTAAATCTTCAAGTAATAGTTTTCTTGTTCCAACTTGACATGTTACCTGAAGCTCCTTAATCTTCTTCTGAAGCTGTGCTCCCAGAGACTGCTCATCCTCAATCTTGCTGAGAAGCTGACTGGTCTCAAAGTCTTTCCTGGGCGAAAAATTGTGCATGTTCATCCATCACCCATTTTATTCAGCCAGAGCAATGAACAAAATTTTATAAATTCTTACTTTTTAATTTTCTCTTCAGACTGCTGCTTGTCATTCTCAAGATCCATGATGGATTCCTGAGCAAGTTTCAGGTCACCCTCCAGCTTCCTCTTTGCTCTCTCCAGGTCCATACGCAGTTTCTTCTCCTGCTCCAATGAACCTTCAAGCTGGAGAAGAGGAAATTATATCATTCCTTTTGAATTGTTACTTGTTGGCAATATACATTGGCTATGTCTTGTTGTACATACATCATCAACTTGTTGCTCAAGCTTAGTCTTGGCCTTGGTAAGTGTGTTGACTTTGTCTTCTTCTGCCTGCAGGTCATCCAGTGTTTGCCTTGGTGAGCCTCTTGGAGTGCTTTCTTTTCTTTAGTGAGCTTAGCAATGCTCTCATCCTGAGAAGCCATCTCCTCTGTCAGGTTCTTCACCTGTTAAAAAGACAATGATAATGGATAATGAAGAAGCATATATGGAATGTTGGGAATGGATTCTTCAAACCTTGTTCTCAGTGGCATGCTTCTCTTTCTCCACTTTGGCCAAGGTAAGTTCCAGATCATCAATATCTTTCTTGAGCTCTGAACATTCATCTTCCAACTTCCTTTTCTTGGCAGTGAGCTCAGCATTGATCTCTTCTTCATCCCTCCAGTCTCTCAGTTGTTTCCTTCAATTTGGCTTCCAGTTGAATCTTGCTTTTGATAAGACCCTCGCACCTCTCCTCAGCATCTGCTAGATTCTCTCCTTCCTGAAAGAGCAAACAAAAGGAAAAAAGTTTGGATGGATTTGAATATCTACAATGTTACCGTCCAACCTATTATTACAGAATTCTTCGATTCATTTTGTTACCACTCATCTGCACCTAACCCAATCAGCCATAGCAAGCACATTTAAACACATTTATCGTACTCAACAGCGAACAACCTTCCTTATTTGAATTTAAACATTTTTGCGGCTTTCCACTAAGCTTCAGCTAGCACAGCAACCCACCTCCCCATGTACATCTAGACAGTTTCACTTTCATAGTCCCATTATTTCTGCTTTGGTCAAAGTATCCATCTTTGTATGGACAAATACAAATAACAAAAATGTTGTTCTATATTCAGCATTATGGTAGGATAAAGTGTACATTCAAATTATGCAGTAATTTTATCAATCTATTTTCTTACAGAAGACACTTGGAGCTGCAGGTCATTCTTTTCCTGCAGAAGGGAAACCATCTTCTCCTCAAGCTCCTTCTTCTTGGCAAGTGCCGCAGCCAAGTCAGTGGTCATCTTCTCATAATTCTCCTTCATATTGGCAAGTTCCTTCTCAGTCTCAGCACTCTTCAGGAGGGGCTTGATCTTATAGTAAACCTTCATCCATGGCCAGTGCTTGACATTCATGAATGAACGGATATTGTACTGAATGGTATAGACAGCATCCCTGGAGAAAGAAAAAATGTAAATTTTGTCAGTTAAGATTGATAGTAACAAGCTCTGTAATAATACAGCTACTGAAGTATTGTATTAGTATAGAGAGCATGCCTTCTTGCAGTCATCTTCACATATTCCCTTCTCATGAGGTATCCACGGCACAGAGCCTGTGTCATTGTGACAAGACTTGCAAGTTTTTCATCTCTCATCTCTTCAAGAACACCCAACAGACCAGCTTTGAAGAACACCTATAACATTTGCGAAAACAATGTAGTACAATGCAACATGGAAACCCCAATCATGTACAACATTTACTCACCTTAGTGTGTCCAAATTTATATTCATCATGGTTGACATCAATGGATCCCAGCAGCTTCTCAGAAGCCTTCTTGTTGTCAATGAACTGACCGTCAGGGATAACAGCAGCATTCAGTACCTTGTATCTTTTTCGAGAAAGAACAACACAAAATAAAGAACATCAAAAACAAAAAGTAAACATATATATATATATTATTTTCGGTTTTCACAAAGTCCACTGATACCTCTGCTTGAAGTCAGCATACATAATTCTGCTGGGGAAACCCTTTCTGCAGATTCTAATACCCTCCAGTACACCATTGCACCTAAGCTGGTGGATGACCAGGAAGTTCTCCATCAAACCTGGGACAATTAGAGTTATTAGTGACCTGAATTAATTTTGTGAATAAAAAGAAAACCACAATGACAATCATGTATACCTGGAGTCTTAGACTCATTGGGAATAAGGCAACGGACAAAGTGAGGATGAGTGCTCCTCAAATTAGTCATCAGCTTGCCCAAATTCTCCTGTAACAGTCATTATAATTACTTTAACAAAGGGTAAAGGGGAGTAAGAAACATCAATGTAATATACTCTGACTTCATACCCTGAACTGTGAGGACACAGTCTGCATAGAACCACCCTTCTTTTTGCCTCCCTTGCCACCTTTGGGCTCTGTTAGATAGATATGAAATAATGTATTATTAATACACCTTCATTAATAATGTCAAACTAAATAGATTATAATTGTTTCCTCACCTTCAACAGTCGGGGGATACAGAACAGGCATGAGCTTGACTGAAGATTTCTGGTACAGCTGGATAACAGACTCGTTCAGGGGGTCCTTGTTCTTGTCCAGCCAGCCACAGATGTTGTAGTCCACAGTTCCAGCATAGTGCACCAGGGAGAAGTGGGCCTCAGCCTTGCCCTTGGCTGGTTTAGGCTTCTCAAACGCCTTGTTCTTGCCAAGATGTTGATCATACAGCTTGTTCTTGAAGGTTGTATCTGAGGCTTTGGGGAACATGCACTCCTCTTCAAGGATGGCAAAGATGCCCATGGGCTGGTTGATAAACAAGACACGTTTTGAAATGGAAAGACTTTCCTACAGTTCATTGAAATCCCATGGCTTACCTTTTCAATCAGCTCAATGCAGGCAGCCAAGTCCATACCAAAGTCAATGAACTCCCAGACAATACCCTCCTTCTTGTACTCCTCTTGCTCCAGGACGAACATGGTGTGGTTAAAGAACTGTTGCAGTTTCTCATTGGTGAAGTTAATGCACAGCTGCTCCAAGGTGTTGAACTGTCAACAACAAGTATTACATATGAACATCCAGGCTTGATTCAGATTTAGGTTTTCTTATAGAATAAAGATTACATCAAAGATTTCAAAGCCGGCAATGTCCAAGACTCCAATGAAGAAGTTTCTCTGTTGCTTGGTGTCCAACATCTGGTTGATGCGGATGACCATCCACAAGAACATCCTTTCATAGATGGACTTGGCCAGGGCAGGTACAGAATTCATCACCTAAATGAACTTGGTGTTAGTAAACTTTCATTCACAATAGGGTTATGGTGATTACTCCTGATATATTAACTCTACCTGTGGCACTGTCTGTCCCTTGGTGACATACTCATTTCCGACCTTGACTCTGGGGTAGCACAACGCCTTAAGCATGTCCGCAGAGTTCAGACCCAGCAGGTAAGCAACCTTGTCAGCATCTTTAGAGAACATGAGTTGTGTTTAAAAAACAGGTCATCCCCCATCGGAGATAGAAGATTTGCATTTTGTATACAGCACTTTTACTGCATTAACTGCAGATGTTGCATGCATTGTTTGTTACTGGTCCCAATACTTTTCAGCTAAAATGAGACAATCTGAAGGACATGTTGTTCTCGATGGGAGTCTCATCATGAATGTGTTCAAAACAACTAATTATATTCAGAATTTTGGAAACAGTTTATGAAATACTTATATACAACTAAAAAGGAAAAGGTTAGGGACATTTCTCTTACCCTCAGTGCCATCAGGTTCAGCCTGCTCCTCACGCTGCTTTTGCTTGAACTTCATGTTTCCGTGGTGGAGGACAGCACCTGTTGTTTTGTAGATGCTCACCTTGTCCTCAGCGGTGAAGCCCAGGATGTCAATGGCATTCTGGTTTAAAATATGTTTCCATAAATATTTCTCCACTTATAACTATGTTAATTACGTATTCTTATGATTCCTGAGTGACTTACGTCAGTTGCTTCCAGCTCCTCTTTGTCATCAATGCTAGCAACAGTAATTTGACCCATGCTGCACATGGGGAAGTCGTATGGGTTGGATGTAATGAGACACATTTCTGAAAAGTAGACCATATGACTGAGCTCAACAAGAGAATACGAGATTTGTTTGTTTCATTTTCTGCATACCAATGATCTCAGGCTTGTGGTTGGTCATCATCTGGAAGAAGATGTGGTAGCCTCTCTCCAGTTCAAGCTGGTATGTTACTCTAGACTTCTCCAGCAGATCTGTGAATGAAAGAAACATTGTTCAAAATACATATTGTTTTTGTGTACAACTTCAACTGAAAAATCCAACTTACAAGTTTCAATATCAGCACTAGCCAGTTTACCAGTTGTGCCAAAATGAATTCTGATGAATTTACCCTGTGTAAATTAAGGTTGTTAGTGTTATACGTTTAGTAATATACATGCAAATGTTTGGAAGCTATTTCATTTTTTTATCTTTTCAAAACTTACAAAACGAGAGGAGTTGTCATTTCGCACAGTCTTGGCATTACCATAAGCCTCCAGAAGTGGGTTGGCTGCAATAATCTGATCCTCCAGGGAACCCTACAGAGGAGATGATTGTCCCATTTATATCGTTGCAAACTAGAACTTGTTTGTATTTAGCAATAACTGAATAGAAAAACCAACCTGTATCTTTGATGACTGTTTTTTCTCACCACCACCAACAGAGATTGTGGCAAAGTACTGAATGACACGCTTGGTGTTCACAGTCTTTCCAGCACCAGATTCTCCGCTGTGGATGAAAATAGACTTGTAAAATCTTTGCATGCACAATTCTTTGGAATTATTAAAGAATAAATTATAGTTTACGTGATCAAAACAGACTGGTTCTCCCTATCTATGAAAATATAAAGTGCAGTATGTCATTATCTATCATTGTGTATAATGTTTTTAATATAAATTTTACTCACCACAAAGCATGAACTGAAAAGCGTTGTCAGAGACGGAGAAGATGTGGGGTGGAGCCTCCATACGCTTCTTGCCTCTGTAGGCATTGACGACTTCCATGTCGTACACTGGCAGCCACTTGTAGGGGTTGACAGTCGCACAGAACAGCCCAGAGTAGGTCTGAAGATATAGTCACATAAACATGAATTTGACTGTTCTTAACACAGTGTTCACATATGTGAAATAAATGTCTTACGTAGATCATCCATGCTGCATAACGCTCTTTGAGGTTATAAAGCACAGAGGCTTCATTGAGGTGGGTCATCATGGCCATGTCCTCAATTTTGTCGTACTTGGGAGGGTTCATGGGAGAGACGTCATCTTCTTTAACTGTTCTCTCCTATAACAGACCATAAGCAGAGCATTTTTTTGCGTGTTGTTAACTCTTTTACATGGTTTTAACTGACCTCCTCAGTGCCCAAGACAGCGACTGTGACTTTGCCACCGTCCTTCTTGAGGATTTTAGCCTTGAGGTACAACTCCTTGACATCAGCCACGTAGCAGGCACTCTTGGCATCAAAAGGAGCACTTTGAGCCTCAATCCTCTCCTTCTCTGGTTTACGGAGGTAGACGGCCGCCTTGCCGTAAATCTGCATCTCCGCGTCCGTACTCATGGTGGCGGTTGTTTTCTATTCTAATTGAAGGAAGAATACAAAATTGACATTCAGAAATGAATATGCCAGTGCAAAACTTTAAAGCTGACTGACTTGTGCCCTAGCTGGTTTTACTATCATATGGTCCATATGCGTTTTCTGAAGCCAATTTTGAGAGTATGAGAGGTCAGATTTTTTTAACACAAATGCACAAATTAGCATGTTGTAATCTAATGTCTTTAAGGATATTTATTAGAACAGGTTTTTTTTGGAGTATTTTTATTGTCTTTAATTTCATTTTATGGTTCAACTGAAAAATTACTTATTGGTAAACATGGCTGGCTCCTGAAGACTGAAAAAATATGACTAAGGATGTTGTTTTTTCTTTTGAAAATATTTAAATATAGATACAACTTTTTTAAATGTTGTAGACACAAAATGCGTCATAGCATATTTGTCCCAGGAAATGACTACTAGTACAGGCTGATATTTCTTTTTACTTCAACTATTTGTGGAATTATACATTAGGCAATCTCCACTAAATTGTGTGTTGCCAGTGTCTTCGGTTGGACATTGCTGCATCTCTAGCTATCGCACTGATTAATCACGTATCACAAATGTTTAGTGACCACACTGGATTTTACCATCAAAATGGGCAACACAAATGTGGCTATTCTGCTTCCTGCTATTCTCAACTAAAAAATATGAAACTAAATGTTGTGGTCATATACTGCTACATGATCATTGTTTTGGAAATACATAGGATATCAGGACATCAGGCTAAAACATGACAGTAAATCACAAATTGTGACGAATCATGTAAATTTCATATGTAATAATTGTTTCCGCAAAAAAGTTGACTACACTAAATCTCACAAAATACTCTAATTGGTTCTTCGATTGAAATTCTCTTACCTGATATTTAAAGTGAAGAGATGATGTGATGGCTCCTTAAATCTATGAAAAGTTAAACAAATTGTTCTTGGTACAAAATGTCTTGATTAACATTGACTGCCCATATCCAAACAGATAGAGAGAAAACCTTACCAGCTGTCCCTGCAGTGGCCGACAGTGGCTGCTATCCTTCTATTCCACTCTTATATACATTCAGCCTGCTGACTGGTCTCAAGTTATAATGGGACACATACCAAATGCGGGTAAGTATCATAGTCAATGATGGAAAGCTTCCATAAATTTGATCCCCACATACACATTTTCTATAGGATACATCAATGAGAATATAAAGCAACACTTTGCTCGTCACAAACTCTTCATTTGTAACCTTATTTTCATACAAAATCTTGAGTGGTATTGGACAAATTGAGACTCTGCAACAGTTTGATTCATTGGACTTACATTTTTTTGGTAATATTTCGTATTTCTAGTCTAATTATATTAATCTATTATCTCTATTCTAGTGAATATTGTCTGAAGTATTCCTTTACTGGTAGCTTGTGTAACTAAGTTTTAGTAACTATTAAGTTTTATCTTAGTTTATTGATACCCCATGCTCCTCTCAGAGCTCTCTGATTCCCCAGCCTATTTTTGCCTTCTACACTATTGAGTGACTCACCTATAATCAAGTCAAGTTAAAATTGATTCAAGAAATTCAATTTTATATTTAAAAAAACAACATATTTTGACCATATGAGCCTATTATAATTTGTAAATGAAGAAAAAAACCAGTGCTTATTTTGTGATATAAGAGGTGCCGCATTGCAGTGGATGAGATCATCAAGCAAGTTCTGTCTACAGTAATTCATGCATGCTCTAAGCAAGAACAACTTGTGTCCAGTACTTGAGTCATGAATGGGGATAGATGCCTCACTTATGGTTCACTGGTTCACATCCCTCATGAGCCTTTGCGCTTGCACCATCGAGTTTGTGGCAAAAAATCTGAACAAAACGGAGCATCATCGGACACAGACAAAAGGCCTTTTACATCCATGTAGTTGTGGCAGATTGCAGTGTTGAATGTAGTTTTGTTATTGATATTTGCACAGTTGTAATTTTGTGGCTGAACTTGTTGTTTTGTCCTGTTTGTATATTGTACTGCATTTTGATAACGGACATCTCAAGGAGCATTCCATTAATAGACTCAACTAAAATAATCTCGTGATTTTTTTTTAATTAAACTCTTTGGACCAAATTAATTATAGGCCCTTTTTTTTCTTTTTTGCCTTCTTGACCATGATCAAGAAGGCAACGTCCAAAGAATCTTTATAATGACTATATACAGCGCTATGGCCAATGCACCAGCTCACACGTACTGCTTCAGATGGAATCAATATATTTTGCTCACGCACATGGGTAGAGATGCCAGATCCAACTTTGAGGGAGCCGGAACATGTCCCCGTGTATTCTGGCTCAAAATAAGGACTGCAAGTAACTATGTACTGTAAAATAGTCCCTCTTGGCATTACCACCAGCAGTAAGGTCTGCTGGAGGAATATGGGTATTTATTTGCTGGTAGTCTTTGCGGGTGAGAATAGATAAGGAGGTAGAGTGTGATCCAGAAGTTAACATGCATTGTGTAGAATTTACCCATTTGGCCCCACCGGCAACTATAGTAACCAAAGTTTATCATTGTCATTTTCTCCTCACAGTAAAAAAGAATCAAAGGTATTAATGCAGGTTTTTCCTCTCATATGCTAGTCAACAACTTAAACAAAAAAAATTATGTTTCCTGGTGCTTCCAGTCCCTTCCGAGTGAAAACATGGATGACGCAAACCATCCCAGAAAGAGGTCATTTTCATGCATTTTTAATAATTTTCCCTACAAAAATATTAATAATTATTTGATCATTCAAGTCTCTAAAGTAAACCTCCCTCAAAACATTGTACCTGGGATACATATTTTTGAGTTATGGGAATGTTTCTGTGTGAGGTAAATATGAGGTCACTGAAGGAAAGGAAAACACTGCCTATAGTAAACCTAATAACAGTGCCTCATAATTTACTTATTTGAAATTGTAGAATGGTGTACAAGGTCTAAATTTAAACCTCTTAGATTACTCTTCACCTCTAAATACAGTATTTGCAGGTATTCAAAGACTATGTCTATTGGATTTTGATATAGGAGTTGCACAGACCCTCCTCCAGCATCATGGAGTAAGACATGAGTGTCCAAACTTTTTACTAAAAGGGCCACTTTAGTCCATCAGACTTGACCTGTGGCCGACAACCTGGATTTGAAAAACTCTTCTTATTGATTCACACCACACCTGCATTTTATGTGGAATGTTGTGACACAATCATAAAACAAATGTCAGTAAATAACAGTAGAGTCAATGACTGGATTCCAGAGGGTCTGAGATTTACAACAAGGTATAGCATGACTGTATTGGTGGAGCTGAAGTTGGTTGGATGACACTGTCTAAGTGCTTCAATGGTGACTTTGTGTTAGCAGCAGAGGGCCACATACTGTAAAATGGCCCAGAGGGCCGCAATTGGCCCGGGGGCCTGAGTTTGGACACGCCTGGAGTAAGACAAAGTGGGCATGGCTGATGCCAACAGGTTCGACAACCTCAACCACTGGCCTGAAACAGCGGTAGCAAGTACAAGTACAAGCAATGCAAGTTCTGTGAGAAGTGTGGAGTGCTTCAAGTATCATACTGTATCAAAGTGTGTGTATAGGGCAGAATACATTTATATAACAAGTATATCTACCAATGGGAAATTTTATGTTTTAGAGACATTTGTTTTGTATTTTAGAATAAAGAAACCGTTCAAGTTGTTTGTTGTTTGGGATATTATAAAAGGAGGAATCAATCATAATCATTTTGGCCGATCACAACCTTTCTGGGTTGATTATATCCAGTTATTATATCCATTATGACCTATTGACAATTTCCCACTGGCAATTATAGTTGCCGGCCCTAAAAATGCTATTTTCTTCCAGGCAAGGTCCAAAATTGAAAAAGCAAAATACTTGGGTTAGGGTTAGGGTTTCCAGATTAATACTCTGAGAAAAATTAGGGCACAAATAGGTTAAGCGCATGGCTTTGTTATGGGAATCTGGTCAAAAGTGTTCACGCACATGTAAAACTGTTTGCAATGATGGGTAGTAGTGACACTACTTGTAATAAAACAACTCAAGGCAGGCAGTGCATATAGGGACAAAGTTCTTCAGCAACATTTAGGATAAGACAAATCCCATATAACATAAATGGTAAGTAACCTGTTCCAAATCTGCCTTCCTCTCTGTCGTATACAGTCGCGCGGGTTCTTGTAAAGCAAAGTCATGCCTCGGCTCTGTGTTTTGTTTTAGTATGCATATGAAGTTTCCATTGTATGGTAAAGCCACATTGTTCAATGACAAACAAAAGATTCCATGTTCCTCGCTGTATGAAATACCAAGGAGTTTGCGGCCCCAAGCATGTTTACTTTCTATGCTCCTAGCTAAGCGGCACTTTGTTGAACAAGCAAGGGAAGGGGGAGCGGATTCAAGGAGGCAGGGGTGAGCAGGCGAAGGCAGCACAGGGAACGCAAAGAGGTGGAAGTAAAATATAAACATTATATAGATACAAACAATAAGTCAAATTCATATCAAGTGTAGGATAAATTAAAATGACCTCTTTCCTCAATCAAAGACATTTTGTTGTATATTGAGACATATTATAACTTCTGTCTCCACTGTGTGTAAATCCTTGTGGTTCAGGTTTTATTGTGGGTAAGAATGTCTTAAGATAAGTGCCATGGCAACACCCTTCCCCCAACGACTCTACCAGATGTGAAAACTTACAAGGACCCACAGGGAAGACAAACCAGTCTGCTTTGGAACCACGGAGTGACCAGACCTCCCTGGGCTCTGCCCTGGGCTCTGCTCAGGCAACCAAGGGGCTTTGGGCCTCTTAGATGGCCTCAAACCTCAGCTCCACGTTTGAGAGGACTTCCACAACCCTTCAATAGCCTCCAGCTTCAACCTGAAGAAGTTGCTGAGTTTTGGCACCTAGACTGTGGATCGTGGGAGGACTTGGTTCAGCCACATGATGCAGCCGCATGGTCCAGGCCCCGTGGAC